GCTATGTCGGGCTATGGACGGGACAAAGCCCTAACAAGTTTACTGTCTCAGGTGACCAGCGAGGTAAGACCACACATGGCTGTGGAAAAGGTAGCATCTTCATTTTTCTTCTTGTCTCCAAGCTTGTTTTTTTTTTTCCTAAGGAACTGAACACTGGTATAACTGGTGGAAGAACATCGTCTCTGCTTTCCTGTATAAGAGATCCCCCGTTAGTTGGCTGGTGAGGGAGGTGAGAAAAGTTAGTGTAGGGAAAAAGAAAAAAAAAAAAAAGTTGACAATATGCAGAAGTGAAAGTATTCTTTGTGTGGCCTGACAGACACTGGAGGAAGCAGAGGACTTTCAGGATGCAGTCATGCGTCTTTCAAAAGTCCCCATCATCACTGGGGTGTATTACATAGTCGGCGGGGTGCGGGCCGGGGAAGGGGTCGTGATCACCAGAGATCGAGAGGGCCCTGCTGATATCTGGCCTCTGGAAACTGCGAAGGGAGGGTAGGTGGAAAAAAAAAAAGATCTGAGGAGGAGGATGGGAAATGATCGCATCGCTCAGTAAGCATTTCAATGTGTGTTTTGGGGATTGCTTTCAGATGGTTCAGAGTGGAGACAAACTTTGACCACTGGCTTCCTCCTCCTGCTAAAGATCATCGGAGGTGAGTCATGTCTCATGATGAGCACGCTTGCTGTGTTGCTGCTGCTGTTATTACACCGCTGCTGTGTGCTCATTTCTTAGAGAAGCGGCTAACAAAGCTTTAAATGCTACTGGCCAGGCGCACATCAATATGAATACACTCTATCAGGTAAGTCAACTAACCTCAACCTTGGTTCACGAAGTCACACTTCTGGTAATCGGAGACGATGTACGGGCTTATAACTCTGTCTCTTCCTCCAGGTTTTGTCCCTGAATCCAGTGTGTAATGGGTAAGAAGGACGTTATTCCTGTTTGATGCCCTTATTTATCCTCCAGCAACTCTATAAATGCTTGTGTTGCTTAGATGGGATAGTTCACTTAGTGTGTTCATTACTTTTACTTCCCTTTTTCCAACTTCAGCGGTTATGTCAGTGGGCCCTTCGTTGACATGTAGCACATACACTGTATTGGCAAACGAATTCGATCACCCATCCAAATGATTGAGTTCAAGTGTTCCAATCACGTCCATGGCCACAGGTGTATAAAATCAAACACCTAGGCATGGGGGCCGCTTCTACAAACATTTGTGAAAGAATGGCTCCCTCTCAGGAGCTCAGTGAATCCCAGTGTGGTACTGTGATAGGATGCCAGCTGTGCAACAAGTCCAGACGTGAAATTTCCTCACAATTCAAAATTCCACAGTCAACTGTTAGTGGTATTATATTATAACGACAGCAGCTCGGCCATGAAGTGATAGGCCACGCATTGTTGGGATTGTGGGATCGTTGTTTAGAAGTTGGGCTCAACTCTTTACTTCCAGTGAAAGGAACTCTTCATGCTCCAACATACCAAGAGCTTTTGGATGATTCCATGCGCCCAACTTTGAGGGGACAGTTTGGTGATGGCTCCTTCCTGTTACAACATGACTGTGCACCAGCACACAAAACAATGTCCATGAAGACACGGATGGGCGAGTTTTGTGTGGGAGATCTTAACTGGCCTGCACAGAGTCCCCACCAAATCTGATAGGACACCTTTGGGTTGAATTAGAGTGGAGAGTGCGAGCCAGGCCTTCTCATCCAACATCAATGTCTGACTTCACTGACATCACATTAAACCCTATGGATTAAGAATGGGATGTTACTCAAATTCACATGTGTGTTAAAGCAGAGTGAATACTTTTGTCAGTATAGTGTAGCGAGTAGATTACAGAGAAACAATAGCTGAATGAATATCTTGATGTCTATTTTTCTGCTTTTCAAAAAAATAAAACCTCACGCATTGAATCGCATTAAATAGTGACCGTCGTCTGTCTTAATATCCTCCCAGAATTACTGTTTACACGACAGTGATGAGCGCAGCAGCCCCTGAGAAGTACATCACAATCCTTAGGCTGCAGGTAATTCAGTTTACACCTTAAACATTTATGCTCAATGAGGCGGCAATAATGTCAATGAAAAAAAATATATAACATTTACTCACTTGTCTCTTCAAATCTTTTTCAAGGACTGCAACAAGACAGACTGAGCTGACAGAGGTGGAGCAGTAAAAGACGCAGACTCCTTTTTCTTGCGGCAGGCGGCGATCTTCACGACTACTTGGAGACTGCGCGATCAATGAGATGACAAGGGAATGCACCTGAAATATTCAATGACACTGTGCTAGTGCCTTTAATAAAATAACATTTGCTGTGATTGTTTTTGCCATTTTATGCACCTTATCTTCCAATAAAACGTGGCTTTATTTTAATCTGTTTTTATTGTCCTCACTTTATAAGCATGACTAGAAGGACGCCCTGCAGGTTACACGTCGTTAACTGCCAAGTGCAACAGATCATGCGATGCAGTGCGCTCATGTTGTTTGCATGTAGTTTGTTATTTATATGAAAACCATGCACGCACACTCAAACCCTATTAGTTTGTGTTTCTAATGTGTCTAATCAGAAGGTGGCGGTGTACAGTTTTAGCTATCAGTTTATTGGTGTCCAGAACGTTTGGTCCTCTATTATAACCAGATCAAAGAATGGAAGGTGAAGCGAAATACTTTTCTAGTCTTGTTTTTGGTGCTGATCTATCACAGCATAATGTGTAAAATGTACCTGCAGGGCGCACTTTGAAGTGCACATGTTCACGTTCGTTACTAAAATTAACATTACCGCGCTAGCGTGAGGTTGCGGGTGGAAAAATCAGAGTCAGCTTTCATGTTTTGGTGACCCAAAACATACTAAAACCCTGCCAGCTGGAGGAAAGACGCCTATGCTATAACCTTTATTCCAGAGAGTTGATCAAGATCTGCTAAATCCTGAGATAATGCGAAAAATAATAACTTCTGCATTTCCAAATGGCGCAATAGTGAGTCAACTGGCACACAATAAGCAAATTCACATATTTCTAAGTTTAAAAATGTGAACTCTACCCAGCAGGCTTAAACGTGTGAGGAAACACACGCATGAGTGGAGGACGAAAGAGTGCGATCACAGGCACACACATTTGTTTATTAAAATCAGACGGAGAGGAGACTGGAAAGACTGGGAACAGAACTGGGCTTGCTAGTTTATAGTGAGACAACTGCATTCAACTATGAGGTAGGAGAGAAAAGAGGATACGAGGGATGCCAAACTCATTTTATGTCACCAACCACATACAGCCCACTTTGAAACCCCCCTTTCTGTCAGTGTAAAGAAGTTTAACTACTCATTTAATTGATGGGATACCGTCTTTTTTTATAATATAAAAAGTGTAATTTCAGCAGTACGTCTTACTTTTTGTTGCACGATAAAGATGTGCCTCTGTAGTAGATGGAAGAAATCTGTCAGCGTGGTTCTTTGAGCTTAAAGTACATTTTAAAATACAGAAATTAATTATTTTGGTTTAGTATGAATGCTCACGGGGAGGTCTTTATTGATAGAAAAAGCTGTAAAACCTGTGAAAATACAGTTATAATTATGTCCTCCTTCATGATGATGTTATTTGAGTCTTTGCTGGGCTGATTTTGCCCGGGCCCTCTGTTGTATGATACAGTCATAATGAGTAAGGCTGAACACTGGGGGAAGTAATGTTTTCGTAACTACTGTCAGGTGTCATAAACAACAGCGCACGTGCTTGTTAGTCACAGGAACTTTGACCGTGACATGATACAAGGAAAGAGTAGCAGGAGTAAAGATCATACCGGAGCTGGAAGAGCATCACTGTGCACCAGACCTGACAGCCTGGACAGGGTTTCTCCAGGAGATGGCAGTAGTGTACCACATAAGGTGCCATTAAAACCCCTCAGAAGAAGAATAGAATCACTTCTTCTTCTTCTCCTGTCGCCAGGATCACATGATATGACAAAGCAGCTAGCTGCTTCCTGTGAACGCCGCTTCCCAATTTCCATCCTGACGGCCGCATAGACTTGCGACTACAGTTTCATCCGAGATGCTGGCCCTTATAAACAGGCTCTTGGACTGGTTCAGGTCCCTCTTTTGGAAAGAAGAGATGGAGCTTACTTTAGTGGGACTTCAGTACTCCGGAAAAACCACATTCGTCAATGTGATAGCGGTAAGCAGCTGACGATTGCGAAGTCGCACAGTCACAGTGCGGGCCCAGGCTGTTACCTTATATAGGTCGCAGAAGGAGGTTTCAGTACGTGCTGTGTATAACTTGAACTTGTCTGCATTTCTACACCGTAACTTCTAAAGATAATGCGACATGGCTGCTTAGCCGGGTCGCAAAGCTACAAGTGTACCGCAGTAGCTGCAGCATTAGCTGCGGTACACCCTGTCGTTGTTTTGCTAGCTGCGGTGACGAACTTGGTTGGTATGATATGCGCTTACGTGTGAAACGGTCATGTGAACGGAGCCGTCAGTGCTTTCGTTGCTGCCAATGTGTCAACACAAGCGGTATGTCGACAACACGGGCTGTTATTTGGTTTTGAACACAGTCTGCCTCGTCATGTTGTTGCTAGCAGGGTGTACCGGAGGGGACGACACTTGAGTAATCATGGCTGCAGGCTGCCAGCTGCGAATACTTGGATAGTCTGTCATCAAAATATTTCCTAATCTTTCAAAGTGACATCCTGTAAGCGCACAAGAGCAGTCTTCCCAATTCCCTTCGTTTGAGTTGTGTTTTTATGGCTTGTTGTCATGCAGCAGGCAGCGTGGACGCTATAAAAGTTAACCCCTCACTTTGTTGTTGTGTCTGACAGTGACAACTGTGGGCGGGTGTGAGGTTAGTGATGATTCCACGTTTGATTGTGTCATGCCATGGTGTCATTTTTAAGAAGGTTGCGAGTCATTTTCCCTCACACGTTGATTGCATACATGACAGTTTAGACCGTTTTGCATATGTAAATCTGTTGACCTCTTATACATTTTCTTCGCATCTTTCTAAACGTACAAAGTTGTCACTGGTGAGTCATGACCTCAGTTGATGTAAGCCTGTGTTGTACTGACCAAAACAGTTTCCTATTTAGAATTAAGGTATTTGGTGCTTTAAACCTGTGGAATGTGTGATCACGGTGCAAAGGTTGGGATCAGAAAGTGTGGTTATTACAGGAGGTATGTGTGCAGTTTACACATTTTTGTTGTTTTGGTTCTCTGTTCCTGCATGTTTAGTTTGAAATAATAAAGTACATAAGTGTAAAGTAAAGTACAAGTGCCACGTCATAGTGTGCCAGAGTTGAGGGCTTCAAAAGTATTTGGATTCTTGGATATTAAGTTAAAAGTGGCCAGGCTAAAGATATGAATATACATAAACAAAGGATAATCAAAGGTAGGTTGTTGGGCATAATCACCAGGTCAGGTGATCACATCTTGTGGCTGCATGGGACAAGAATGCTCTTCAGGATGTAGACTACATAAATGGTTTTTTTTTTTCTTTGTCAGTGGGTGAGACAAATCTTTGAGATCAGAACCTCATGGGACTCAGTACAGAATGCAACCTCATGCTAAGCATTCAAAAACACACGGATTGGGTAAAGCTGTGAAACAAAGTACATTGAAAGGCAAGTGTGAAGAAAGTGGGAGACCTTGTGAGCCAAAGCATACCCACCCCCCATTTGGCAAGCCTGGTGGTGCTGTTATGGTTCCCAGGGGAACTGGCACACTGACATTTATTGATGATTTCTCTGCTGTCAGAAGCAGCAGTGTTAATGTAGAAGCTTATAGGAGGATTTTTGTGTTTTTTAGATCCTACCAGTTTCACTGGACCTCTATTCATAATTAAATGTGAAGAGGTGCAATATCCATGCCTGGCTGAGTCACACCTGATCTCGATGACTGGCCAAAGAGCAGAGTAAAGAGAGAAAGACCTTGTAGTAACCCAAAGCTGTTAGCTGCAGTGAAGGCCTGGGAGAATCACCAGGGAAGATGCAAGCAGTGTGCTTGTGTCTGTGGGTTCAGATACTGGCTGCAGTAAAGGTTGTCTTCATGTGAATGTGTCCAATTTCTTTAAAAAACTTTTAACCTTTAGACCATTTCCATCCAATTTCATTTCCCAGTGATGCATACCCACTCCAATTACAGCTGAAACCTCATGACTTTATTCTTTATCCATTATTGTATTTCATATTGATTGAGCTGAAACAAAACACGAAGCAGTCCGATTACTTGTGATGTGAACTTTGTGCTGACACATAGATGGCACCATCTTATGATTAATGGAGTGAAAATGGCAAATGCTCAAATTCAGCTAGAAGAAAATAACCCTTGTAATTCAATTATTTCCTAATTTAATCATGCACAGAAGTGACTAGTGTGCACACTGTTTTTCATGTGGCTTTAAGATCAGATTAAAGCATGCAGTCTTGACTAATATGAGATTGTCCTTTGTCTGCTATTTGTCTCGTGCAGTCAGGACAGTTCAGTGAAGACATGATCCCCACAGTTGGTTTCAACATGCGGAAGGTTACTAAAGGCAATGTGACAATAAAGGTAAGCTATCAAAAATGGGTATGCAGCTGGTTGCTAATTACAAATGTAAATGGGACTATTTACAAAGTTTACAGATAAAATGGTGTGCGTGTGCGTGTCGTTTCTGACTCGATTTTGTGCTTTCTTGTGTCAGATATGGGACATAGGTGGACAGCCCCGCTTCAGAAGCATGTGGGAGCGCTACTGTAGAGGAGTCAATGCTATTGTGTAAGTGTGTTGCCAAAAAGGTACAGCATGTTCCCTTTGTGGCTGCATGAAAAATGTAGCAAATTGCACATTAGTATTTAGAAATGCCTTGTTTCTGTGAGCTCTAATTTGATTATCTCTCCCCATCCTTAGTTACATGGTGGACGCAGCAGACCGAGAGAAGATAGAAGCTTCCAGAAATGAACTGCACAACCTTTTAGACAAACCACAGCTACAAGGAATTCCAGTAAGAGACCTCTTGTTAATTTTTTTTTTTTTAATCACCAGAAGCTTGTGGTGTTCCAGCAAGCACTCGATGACCAGGATCAAATGACAGTCACAAGCAGTCATTAAAGTCATAGTTAACAATTGCAGAAAGCCATTAGTTGCAGTGACTTAGGCTTGATGATGTTACACTTGTTGGTAATATGAAACAAAGCTTGAATTATGGATGTATTTTCTTTTCATTGAGTTGACGGAGTGCGATTTGATGAATCCATAAGATTTTCTGCTTCCTCGACTCAACACTTCACGCAGGCAGTTTATTTTGCCTTAACAGTAAATATTGTGTGATGGTTGAGGCATGTGATTGAGTGAAGAGAGTGATGCTGATACATTGCTGCATTAGGTATTGATCAGCCCTGTCTTTCTTTTCCAGGTGCTAGTCCTTGGTAACAAACGAGACCTTCCCAATGCACTTGATGAGAAGCAGCTTATTGAAAAAATGTAAGAAATGAACTCTTGCCAAATGTTCTGTTAGTGGTGTTGTTACATAATAAGTGTCTACTTGACCAGTGTTTGATGATTCCTAATAACCCCATAGACTTTTTCTAAGATGAACATGGATTACAAGTTTGAAAATTGAGGCCACTGCATTCTTTCTGATAGCCAGCAGGGGTCCTTGTTTGCAAAAATATATCATGTACAGAAGTCCATGAGGACATTTCC